CGTAACGGGCATTGGGCAGGTACCACCGCTGACCGAAAGCTGACGCCTCATATTGCATATTGACTGTGGGAACCTTACGCAACAGGGCTTTGTTTCCCACGATAGAACACCTGCATGGAGGCAACTCGCCCCAACGATTTGGTGTATAAATATAAGCTTCATTTAAATAAAAATCAATTATAACTGAAAGACCTCCAAGCGTACTACACTACTCCAAGAACAAGTGGGCGGAGCTACTTCAATTACTCCCAAACTGAGCATGTTATCAATTTCGGCATGAATCCTTTTTTCAATCGCTGGTGATACTGAGAAATATCTTTGTTTGATCGGTTTCGCCGATGGAATTAATTCAATTGAATGCTCTAACATGGACGTTTTCCCCAAGCCATACAAGGCCAAGCCATATATAAGCCATATATAAGGTTAACAATCTTGTCTGCTTCCAAAAGATTGATTCAGTTTCTACATAACCGAGTATTTTATATGTTTGTCCTCCAGCAGTTTCAACTTGCGATTTGCTTGCAACATATTGCATTTTCTTGCTTATAAATTCTTTTACAGCATCTCCACTAAGGCATGAAACTGATGCACCGGAATCTAAGAGTCTTTTACCAAAGATATTTACTTCTACAAACGGTCTAATATCACTTTTCATATCAAAAATTGAGTCTAGACTTAATGATATACTCCTCCTTCTATCTTTAACTTTTCTTAAAAAGTTGCGAAGACGAACAGTATTTCTCTTTATTCTGATACAACTGGGCTTTTTTTCTGAATCTTTTTTACTACCAAATATCTTATTTCTTATTGCTTCATAGTTTCGAAGTCTTATATGATTTACCATGAATATTTTTAGAATTTAAATATTTAGGAATTATGTTCAGGAAAGAATTCTCTTTTCCTTATGTTGACGATTTGAGCGGTAACTGCTGTTTTTGCTGCTGCTGCTCAACCGTCGGTTTTCCTGACAGGTTTCACAGTTTGGTCTTATTATGTTTCAGCTCCACAACCTAAGCAAAATATCTTGTTGTCAGATTGGCAATCTACGTGTTTATGTCCAAATTTGCGACAATTCCAACATTTCGTCTCTTTCTTCTCTTCTAATGCTCTAGTTCGTTTTAATTCACAAATCTGTTGTTCTTCTAGATAGTCATCTGAACATTCCTTGTCATAATCCACTTCATAAACTTGCTTTCTTGAGTTTGTCTTCAGGTTAGTAGCATTATACTCCTCGCTAAACGCTTCCCGCCTAAGAACCAACTTTCTTAACTGACTGACCGAATTAATTTTTTTATGTAAAACAACTCCTTTCTCATAAACGGTCTCAGATTTCGTTTCAGAATTGATGTTAATTGATTCTCGCTAATAGGGTATTGTAAACGATCTACTAAATGCATAACTCCGTTGTGAAATTCGTCAAAGCTTTCATTGACTTGCTGCTTGCGATCTCTTATCAGTTCTCTCACGTCGTCGTCTTATAGTGGCTCAAGAAAATATGAATTTAGCGACTTGCAAAGATCGGAGCAATTTACTCTATCAACTGTGCGTCTGTACCTCCAGAACCATTCACTTGCTCTACCACTGAAAAGAATATGGATGTGGTCACACAAAATATCAACATTTCCTCTTAAGCTGTCGTTCGTCAATGCTGTAATCATGTAAATAAATTTTCCTACTGGCATGCCACTACGCGAGCCTCTTAAGCTGTCGTTCGTCAATGCTGTAATCATGTAAATAAATTTTCCTACTGGCATGCCACTGCGCGAGCCATTGTACTGTACTTTCCAGCTGCTAATTAAATTTGCAACCTTTCCTGCATCGCGGCTTAGATTGAAATTATTATTTCTCTCAGTTGCATTGGGTATGAAAGTGGGTGCATCTCTATCAAAGCTAAATAATGATGCTCTAGTGGTTCTTCTTCCCAATCAGGTTCGTTATTATTTACATTTTCATTTGCATTGATGTTGATGTTGCAGTTTTTTAATTCTTCAACCCTTCCTGCTCTATCCGTTGTTAGCCTCGAAATTGGCCGAGACAGTTATGATATCATGGATTGCATTTGACTAATTTTTGAAGTAACTTGTTGCTCTACCTGTGATAGTATTCGCTGCTCTAGCAAACCTACGTCTTGATACGGGTTTTTCACCGAAGCAGAATTAGACAATATGTTGCTGTTACCATCTCGCTTGCTTGCTGCAACTGTTTCTTTTTCTTCGTTTGGCTATTCGTTAGCAAAACTCTTTCTGAACTGTTTGTTTCTGGTGACGAATAAAACCCTTCGATGTTCATGGAACACAAATGCTTTATTTCCAAAGTGGACTGTATCAAAAATTCTTCTTTTTTTACGCAGCCAACATGTCCATCATGTTCTGCTTTTGTCTTAACACTTTTTTTTCTTAACACTAAAACAGTTTCGGCGGCGGTCATTGTCGCTGCCCAAAAGTGATGCGTCTGCATCTAAACCGTGAGAACCTTACGTAACGGGCATTGGGCAGGTACCACCGCTGACCGAAAGCTGACGCCTCATATTGCATATTGACTGTGGGAACCTTACGCAACAGGGCTTTGTTTCCCACGATAGAACACCTGCATGGGGCACACGCCCCAACGATCTTTGTATAAATATAAGCTTCATTTAAATAAAAATCAATTATAACTGAAAGACCTCCAAGCGTACTACACTACTCCAAGAACAAGTGGGCGGAGCTACTTCAATTACTCCCAAACTGAGCATGTTATCAATTTCGGCATGAATCCTTTTTTCAATCGCTGGTGATACTGAGAAATATCTTTGTTTGATCGGTTTCGCCGATGGAATTAATTCAATTGAATGCTCTAACATGGACGTTTTCCCCAAGCCATACAAGGCCAAGCCATATATAAGCCATATATAAGGTTAACAATCTTGTCTGCTTCCAAAAGATTGATTCAGTTTCTACATAACCGAGTATTTTATATGTTTGTCCTCCAGCAGTTTCAACTTGCGATTTGCTTGCAACATATTGCATTTTCTTGCTTATAAATTCTTTTACAGCATCTCCACTAAGGCATGAAACTGATGCACCGGAATCTAAGAGTCTTTTACCAAAGATATTTACTTCTACAAACGGTCTAATATCACTTTTCATATCAAAAATTGAGTCTAGACTTAATGATATACTCCTCCTTCTATCTTTAACTTTTCTTAAAAAGTTGCGAAGACGAACAGTATTTCTCTTTATTCTGATACAACTGGGCTTTTTTTCTGAATCTTTTTTACTACCAAATATCTTATTTCTTATTGCTTCATAGTTTCGAAGTCTTATATGATTTACCATGAATATTTTTAGAATTTAAATATTTAGGAATTATGTTCAGGAAAGAATTCTCTTTTCTTAATGTTGACGATTTGAGCGGTAACTGCTGTTTTTGCTGCTGCTGCTCAACCGTTGGTTTTCCTGACAGGTTTCACAGTTTGGTCTTATTATATTTCAGCTCCACAACCTAAGCAAAATATCTTGTTGTCAGATTGGCAATCTACGTGTTTATGTCCAAATTTGCGACAATTCCAACATTTCGTCTCTTTCTTCTCTTCTAATGCTCTAGTTCGTTTTAATTCACAAATCTGTTGTTCTTCTAGATAGTCATCTGAACATTCCTTGTCATAATCCACTTCATAAACTTGCTTTCTTGAGTTTGTCTTCAGGTTAGTAGCATTATACTCCTCGCTAAACGCTTCCCGCCTAAGAACCAACTTTCTTAACTGACTGACCGAATTAATTTTTTTATGTAAAACAACTCCTTTCTCATAAACGGTCTCAGATTTCGTTTCAGAATTGATGTTAATTGATTCTCGCTAATAGGGTATTGTAAACGATCTACTAAATGCATAACTCCGTTGTGAAATTCGTCAAAGCTTTCATTGACTTGCTGCTTGCGATCTCTTATCAGTTCTCTCACGTCGTCGTCTTATAGTGGCTCAAGAAAATATGAATTTAGCGACTTGCAAAGATCGGAGCAATTTACTCTATCAACTGTGCGTCTGTACCTCCAGAACCATTCACTTGCTCTACCACTGAAAAGAATATGGATGTGGTCACACAAAATATCAACATTTCCTCTTAAGCTGTCGTTCGTCAATGCTGTAATCATGTAAATAAATTTTCCTACTGGCATGCCACTACGCGAGCCTCTTAAGCTGTCGTTCGTCAATGCTGTAATCATGTAAATAAATTTTCCTACTGGCATGCCACTGCGCGAGCCATTGTACTGTACTTTCCAGCTGCTAATTAAATTTGCAACCTTTCCTGCATCGCGGCTTAGATTGAAATTATTATTTCTCTCAGTTGCATTGGGTATGAAAGTGGGTGCATCTCTATCAAAGCTAAATAATGATGCTCTAGTGGTTCTTCTTCCCAATCAGGTTCGTTATTATTTACATTTTCATTTGCATTGATGTTGATGTTGCAGTTTTTTAATTCTTCAACCCTTCCTGCTCTATCCGTTGTTAGCCTCGAAATTGGCCGAGACAGTTATGATATCATGGATTGCATTTGACTAATTTTTGAAGTAACTTGTTGCTCTACCTGTGATAGTATTCGCTGCTCTAGCAAACCTACGTCTTGATACGGGTTTTTCACCGAAGCAGAATTAGACAATATGTTGCTGTTACCATCTCGCTTGCTTGCTGCAACTGTTTCTTTTTCTTCGTTTGGCTATTCGTTAGCAAAACTCTTTCTGAACTGTTTGTTTCTGGTGACGAATAAAACCCTTCGATGTTCATGGAACACAAATGCTTTATTTCCAAAGTGGACTGTATCAAAAATTCTTCTTTTTTTACGCAGCCAACATGTCCATCATGTTCTGCTTTTGTCTTAACACTTTTTTTTCTTAACACTAAAAAAACTCAAAAGTGCGACGCAGCGCGACCAGACAAAAATACCAAACTAATGAGGGAAAATTAAGTGTTCAAAAATAGAAAACGAAATTTAAGAAATTCTTTAACGGCTGCAATGCGTTCATCAACATCCCGGGCCGCCCTGAAACATAGTTTCTGAATTAGGTAGTACTGCTAGCTTGCTGATGGGTCGGGTCATTTCTCCGGTAGATGTCTTAAGCTTCACGGCGCGAACAAGTCCATCTGGTCCAGGATGAGCTTCCAATACACGGGCTAGAATCCAAGCTGCTGGTGGGAGATTGGAGTCCTTGACAAGTACCACATTGTCAACTGAGATGTTGCGTTGCTTGTTGTTCCACTTGTGACGTTGCTGCAAGGATGTTAAATATTCTTGATGCCAGCGCTTCCAAAATCCTTGGTACATTGCTTGCAAGTGCTGCCAATAGTCCAAGCGATTGATTGGCAAATGAGATAGATCGCCTTCCGGGATTGTTGTGAATGGGCGACCAATTAGAAAATGGGCTGGCGACAAGTATGTGAGGTCTGTGTCTGGTGTATAGCATAACGGTCGAGAGTTCACAACCGCACTAATCTGAACAATTAGAGTTTGCATTTGTTCGAAGGTTAACGTCGTCTTTCCTACAACGCGACGAAGGTGCAGTTTGACGGAACGCACGGATGACTCCCACTTCCCCTCCCCAGTGTGGCGAATGTGGCGGTATGAAACTCCATTTGATTCCATCGTTGGCCAGCGATTGGGCTACGGTGTGTTGATGCTCCTGCGAAGATAGAAGTTGCTGCATCTCATCTAGTGCCCGTTTGGCACCAACAAAATTTGTTCCGTTATCGCTGAAGATCTGGGAGCATTTTCCTCTGAGGGACATAAATCGACGAAGACAGGCCAGGAAGGTGTCGGTGCTCAGGTGGGCGGCCAATTCCAGGTGTATGGCTGATGTTACAAGGCACACAAACAAACATATGTAGCCCTTAGTTTTTCGAGGATTGCGTCCTCTCCTTTCCTTTTTAGTATAAATGGTCCAGCGTAGTCACAGCCTGAGTGCTGGAAGGGCAGAGCTTCGGTGATACGAATGCCTGGTAAATCGGCCATGAATTGGTGCTCTGTGTGATTACGTTGGCGAAAACATCTTATGCAGTTGTGGACTAGATTTCTTATAAGATTACGCGCACCAAAAATCCAATATTTTTGACGCATAATAACAAAGAGAGCAGAGACGCCTGGGTGAAGGTTTGATGCATGTTCATGTTCCAAAATCAGTATTGTGATGCGGTGCGATTTCGGAAGCAGTATAGGGTGTTTGACATCAGCTGGTAATTGAGAATTGCTCAGTCGTCCACCAACTCGTAGAAGGCCATTCTTGCATACAATCGGTGAGAGCTTGAGCAGCTGAGAGCGGCTCCGAAGTGGCTTGTTCTCCAGCAGCAGAATTCGATCCTCTTTGAAACATTCCTGAGCCGTTTGTAGGCAAAGAATGCGAGCCGCCTGGATCTCCTCGAATTTCAGCATTTTGCTACTTGCCAACATGCCTGATTTAGGGGCTCTGGTCCCTTGGATGAAGCGCAAGACGTAGGCTACAATGCGAACCAGTTTTGTCCAGGACGAGACGCGTTGCACCAGTGCTTCGAGCGGTGAAAATGAGTCGTCTTCCGAGTTGTCAATGCGGTGTCAATGCGGATCTTTGAACGGAAGCTCGACGATGTAACGCCCCTTGGAGTCCCGAGTGTGTGTCTTCATAAAGTGTTGCTCAACTTCATCGTCCTCTGGTTCCCGCTGAAATTCCTGGTTGACATCCTCCAGCTCCCAAAAGCGTCGAAGCGATGCGTCAATGTCAATAGCCGTGTGCATTGTCATTGTAGATGATGAGTTGCTGGTCGTAATAGAAGTTATGACCCATCCAAAAATTGTCGAAATGGCAATGACGTTCCCGTGGCTGTCGAACATCTTTTGGCCGGTGAACACGGTCCACACATAATCGCTGCCCAAAAGAATATCCACTGGCGCTAACGATTGATATTCAGAATCTGCGAGATCGAAGCCATCGAAAGCCCTTAGTGCTGCAGCGTCAATATCGTGTCTTGCCAATGTAGAGGTGATTTTGCTGAGTACGTGAGCGCGTACCTTCATTGTGTGCTCTGAGATCCTTGACTGCATGTCCAGTGTGCTGCAGCCTCTAGTTGTCTCAGCCTTTATAGATGAAATTCCCGAGACCAGAATACGTGATGGAAAACGTGACAGGCCAAGTGCCTGTATGCACCGTTCCGAGATGTATGACAGTTCCGAGCCACTGTCCAAAAGCACCCGACAGATAGTGTGCGATCCCTTTGCGTTTCGAACGAACACTAGAGCTGTTGGCAATGCGCTTTTCCGAAGCCCGTGTGGCTTTGTAGCAGTTGCTGATCGGTTGTATGAGGGTTCAGCTCTTGGAGTAACTTGCGCACGTGCGACGTGGCTGATGGCCACTGTTGCCTCTTCGGGAGTGCTGAGGATGCGCTGCTCGTCACTTCTTGGCTGTGCCCTGGTTGCAGCAGCCTGCGAAGTAGAATTTTCTATATGTAGTAGAGAATGGTGACGAGTATGGCAAAACTTGCATGTGAATTTTGATTCACACTTTCGTGACACATGCCCAAGCTTGAGACAGTTAAAGCACAATGACTTAGCTTTAACGAATGTTCGTCTCTGCTCGACTGATAAGTCACCAAACTGCGGACAAATGTAGATCTTGTGTTCCTTGGAGTTACATTTTACACAAGCACCTTCTTCCAGCGATACCATAGCGTGTGACGATCGCTTGGCTTTGTTTTGTTGTGCACCAACCTTGAAGTCTGTGTCAGTCTCACTTTTGCTTAGCTCAAATTCCTCGCAGCGCCGGTCTAAGAACTTGAGTAAGTCGTTTACAGTTGGCGATTCCAGCTCGCGACTTCCTTCAATCCATTTGCGTCGGGTTTCAGCGTCAATTTTGGCCAGCATGAAATGTATAATCCAGCAGTCCCTATTAGTTTGCCCTGCTGCATCCAAGCCGCGTACAATCTCCGTTGCCCCATCTGTCACCTTACGTAGAATTGAAACGTCTGCTCTGGATGTCGAAGGTAAATTCACAAATGTGTCCAGCAAAGTATTTACAATGTGACGTGGTCGGTTGTAACGCTCCGTTAGGCAAGTCCAAGCAGCAGTATAAGCTGCTTCTGTTATTGGCATATGTCGTATCAAATCAGCTGCTTCTCCAATAACATATGTTTTCAAGTAGTGCAATTTTTGAATGGCTGTCAAATGCTGATTGCTGTGAATCGTACTTTCGAAGAGGTTCATGAAAGCAGGCCATTCCTTGTAGTCACCATTGAACTGCTTGATGTGTATTTTTGGCAATTCGCTTTGCACCCTATTTGCTGTCGAATTTGCGCTCAAAAACGTGGTTTGTTGTTGCGCCAATCGCTCGTTCAGCTCTTGTTGTTGTTGTAAAAAACGAACAAAGTTTTCGTTTCCTGATCCCGATGCTTGTGATCCCCATGGGCTCTCACTGTCGTTATGGTTGCCGCTGGCGATGTTTCCTCCCTCGTTCTCCCTTAGCATACAAGCGCGTTTTAGCGAGTGTAGTAATGTGTTTGCACGCAAGTACTTGTCTTCGTAGGTCTCGTTGTCGATGGCTGGATCAACATACCCCTCCTCCTCATCAAAAAGGGCCATTTTGTCGCTAAGAGTCTCAAACTCCTTCCAAACGGTATTGAGCCTCTCCAATAACACGGTTATTTGCTCCAATTCCAAGTTTGATCCCGCACGTGGATCTTGTGACGCCGTTAGCAAACGCGTGATGCTTGCCTTCGCACGGCTTCTTGCTGATTTCACAAGCTTGAAGTCTTCCATTTTTAAACAATAAGCTTATCCCGGTTGAAGGACCAACAATATGGTGACGAATAAAACCCTTCGATGTTCATGGAACACAAATGCTTTATTTCCAAAGTGGACTGTATCAAAAATTCTTCTTTTTTTACGCAGCCAACATGTCCATCATGTTCTGCTTTTGTCTTAACACTTTTTTTCTTAACACTAAAAAATCTCAAAAGTGCGACGCAGCGCGACCAGAAAAAATACCAAACTAATGAGGGAAAATTAAGTGTTCAAAAATAGAAAACGAAATTTAAGAAATTCTTTAACGGCTGCAATGCGTTCATCAACAGTTTCTGGGTTCAGATTGTGGTCTGCAACGTTACCGGGAAGAACTTCTAGAACACTGTATCTTGTAACATTGTTCTGACATTGTTTGAGCGAAGAGGCGTCTCAGGATGTCCCTTAGATAGTCCCAAGATAAAGGCGTTAGAGTCCAAGTTCTATAAAGTAGGGTTTTATTCGTTATATATGTATGTACAATGATCTCGTGCAAAGCCGGCCGTTTGCTTGTGGGTGTAGAAGCGCAATGAATTTAAAGTCGAAGTCAGCTGCCAGCGGCTGTCGGCAGCGGGAGTGGGTGCGAGAGCGTGGTGAGTCTGAGCGCGCGAGAGCGCGTCACTGGGGCGAAAAACGCTCATAAGCGAGAGAGCGAAGGCAACAGCTTGCGTAGCTGGAATGATAACAGTGGTGTGGCTGGAATGCCCACAGAGCTCTTGCCCCGCCAGTGCCGTCCTCACTCTGAACAGACATATTGGACACAATCGTGACTTATCAAGCCAATTCAAAATACAGTTTCTATGGAAAATATGTTTACATCGTGTAATGAGTTTTAAGTCCAAAGAAATGATTGGGTTTGAACAGACTATGCAAATCTGTTCGTTATTTGCGGTAATGGTCTTATCTAAACTGCGTCTTACGGCCATGGTGCACAAAAATTTATCTCTAATAACTTCGCCAAATAATTACTCGAATTATAAAACTATCTCAAAAGTAAATATACGGTTAAAGGGTATTGTGATCTGGAAAATATAAAGATTACGGCAATACATACCACACTCTCACTTTTCCCAAATATACTATATATCAAAGAGGGTATTGTCTCCAACAAGAACTGAAGCTTCACAAGATATGTACCAACGGTTCCAGGCAGTAACATTTAATGACTAGCATTCTAAATATTAAAGATTTCCACAGGCCTTGATACATTTCTTTCACCTAGTTCCTGGCATGTGTTCCTAGTTGTCCCCCTACCGTTTCAGACAGAATTGACTGTGACTAGCACCAACTATTGCAGTTTTCCAGAAAGAAAAGAACGCAACAAGATTCTACTTGCTGACAATAACTGGGACACCAAATTAATGTTATTGTTTTTCTGTGTCGTGCGCCACGTTGGGCGCCACTTTTGTGTAATGTACCTGGTGCTATAAGGGTGGTGTTTGCTGCGACATACACCACAAACTAGACAACGTCAATATGAGATCATGACTAGCACGTTGGGATCTTTCGGCTAGGGCTCGTCGGACGGGGGGGATCTTTCTGTTGTTCTAGTTGCTACACTCAGAAGACATTGTGTGCTAACCTGGCCGTTATTAGGTGTTGAATTTTAAGTTAAAAATGCAATATGCATTGCCGGTCTGAGTCAGGTGTAGGGACTCCACGTTACCCACCCAACCATGTTAGCTACTGTTCATTCTTTAAGTGTTAACCCTTATGTGTTATATGTTCTTTTTTTCAATACCCCATTATAATGCCACTACTCCATATTTCTTAAAACAAATCCTCAATTAATTTTTCTAATAAATGACATGGTTTCAAAACTAAAGATAAGAATAATAGGTAAATCAATAAAGATGATTATGTATGTAGGTTAAACGTTAATATATGGATAAAGAAAATCTAGAACAAAGCATTTATATGGTGGCTTAAAAATTTCACTCCATCGCTGCAACAGGCCTGCATGCATTGACGTTCCACCTAGCTAAGAACATTAACAGTATGTACAATGTGTATAAAATTAAAGAAAAGTGAAAGAAATCATAAAAAAAAAATAATTATATATATATATATTTGTGTCACTAAATAAATCCGTTCCATTCATCCATCCTTATTGTGCTTCCCTTCCAACATCCAGCATGACGATGTCCATCCAGACCCTGACCAAATGGTCCTTCATACCCGGTGTTGACTGTCTGTTGGTGTGCACACGTGCGCACGTCCAAAGTCAAAAAAGATCGATGGAAACACCTCTAGAAAACTTCTCTGACGCTAGATCTCCAATCAATGATGTATATGGGAGCAAACCGAAGCAAACTTAGCCTTTAATTGGCATATGGGCAGTTCCGCCAAAAGGTCCACCAGGCCAAAAATCATAAAAAGTCAATAAAAACCGATTTCCATATAATTTTTTTCGGATATTTTTTTCTAAATTTATTGAAAGGTAACTAATTTACTTTATTGACATATAATTTCATTAACTTTCATCCTAAAACCTATGAAAATAAGCAAAAGTTCACGTTTTTGGTATTTCCTGGTATTTTTATAGACATTTTTCTTTTACTATTATCTCCTAGGAAGAAGATGATTATTGATAAAAGTTTCTCCTTAAAGTCTTTCTAACATATTAA